TTAAAAAAAAAATTGTCTGAATACATACATTAATTACGAGTATAATTTGATACATATCAAATCGAATCACCCCACTTGTCAACCCCACGTTCGGGGTTGAACTGATATGTGACACGCTTGTTTGTTGATGACAAAAACAGAAGCGCTTTTTGATGCGTTGTCTACATTTCGTTGGGCGATATCAAACTTTCAGGCGCTGTCAGTTTTATGTTTCAAAATTTAGTATTTCTGAATATCCGGTAATGGAAACATCGTTAACAACTGAATCAGAAGGTCTGCTCTATATATAGCCATGTTGTCACTTTGGATTCTAAAAACATATACGTAATGGGACTGTGTTAAGTGCCTTCACTACGAATGAGAATGCTTCTGTCGACCCCATAGGAGAGTACAGTCGTTAAGGCATTTTTTTAACTGTCGTAATATTTTTTTAATGTAGTTAATTTTTTTCTTATACTTGTTTTTAAAGCGGTTTTCACCTATGTATTATAGTAAGAAGTTAATAATAACGTAATAATAAGCTAAGCCATTTCACGCAGCGTTTTCTAAAATTCCTACTAATCCCAAGCTAGGCGGAGATTGTGTTATGGATACTATATACCTGATATAAATACTTATACTTTTCAAATTTTTTTTCAAATGCATACATAACACTCGGTTACAAATAAACATTCACATGAATTTGAAACGTACGTGGAATCGAACCCGCGACCATCGGAAGTAAAGTGGTGTCCTAACTTCTAGATCAGTACATAGAGCTAATCGATAACATAGATGAAGTCCGATTGATTTACATGTATACCTTTGGCTATTCATCCTAATTAAGTTATAAATGTAAACAGATTGGTCTTATTTTCATGCAACTAAGTTAGTAAGTTTATTCACCTTAGTGCGTTGGTCCACTGTCTCTATCAACGACACGTCTCCGAGAATGCGAAACGGCGATAAGCAGTGAGAGTATTTACACGGGACTTCGTTTCTTTCTTTTGACATAATAATTCAAGATCCTTCCATACAATCCATCTTTATCTTTTCAATAGGAATTGATTAGCCGTTTACTTGTTTATAAGGTGACAAATAAACAGGCACACTCGTATTTAAAATATTAGTATGGATGTCCATCCGAGCCGAAGAACATTGGAAGCGGGGTGACACTTGATCACTTTCATGTCATTTTGAACTCGGTTTCGTATAATGGATATACGGAATTAATCTAATTAAGTATTAGAGTATCAAGTCATATTACATCAAGGTCAGAGCAGGAATGCCAAACAAGGCCCTTAGACCTTGGTTGGCATCCCTACTCTACGATTTATTTTATGATTACGATTTTATTAGATTTTTTATTTCTTTGTACGAGATTAAATCTTTTAAAGTTAGAAATGCAGATTTAGAGTCGTACATTGTGTGACTCTATCTTATGGATCATAATGGAATCGTGCATCTGCTTGCGCAAACGGTTTACTCTATTGGGGACCTGGGGAGAATGATCAGATGAGGTTAGGTCATTTAGCCCATCGTAGTAATTTCACTATGAATTTATATAGTTTCCAGGGAGAACCACGTGGAAGGCAACCTGACGTGGTTATTGCTAGCAATAGAGTTATTAATTCACATTATTAACACTCCCCTTCCGGGGACTATATCTCCTGTATCTTGAATTCTATGTCCAATATCTTGAACCCGATTGTGTGCAGTGGTCTGGTGTATTACGTAACGATACCAGGTTTAGAGTCGTACGTAATATGACGGTGAACACTCGCCGTCACGTCATCTTGATCTCGGACGAGTGCAGTGGACAAACGGCAATAATGTAATTAAACAATTTAGTCACCTTGCACCAAGTTTAGAGTCGTATACGATGTGAAAGGTTATCTAAAACATTGTTTTTATCAACAACCTTTAGTTAAACTCGTTTAAGTGATATTTTATGTTTTTAATCTAACATTTTGTGATAATTACCTACTTCAATTTTTGTTTGTAAATTGTACATATTTTTAGATGACGATGGATGTTATCCGTGCGCGACCTATCTCTACAATTTCAGCTTTTTAGATTGTAATAAAACTATGTCAAGTTATGGCTCGCAGTTGATAGAATTTTATTGGCAAAGTAAAATTAGTTTACAGTGGGCTGCGTGCGTATCGTGCTTGAAAATGCACTTGGAAGAGTATATTTGTAATCATATTTCTTTTATGTAACTTGTAGAAGAAATACTTACTAATATTATAAATGAGAAAGTAACTCTGTCTGTCTGTCTCGCTTTCACGCCAAAACTATTGAACCGATTTAAATGAAATTTGCTACATAACTATGTAGCAAATTTGTCCTTTGTCAGGGTCTAGACTAACTAGTCTAGACCCTGAGAAAGGACATAGGCTACTTTTGAATGCGATGGAGGGGTTATAAGGAGTTGAAAGAGTTATGTATGGAAGTGTCGTCATTTTAGAAGATGAAACTTTTTCATTTGGCTTTTATTGGGTTAGATCATTAAATATTTTTTTCATTATTTGCACAAAGTCACTATTTTCGCGGACGAAGTCGCGGGTACAGCTAGTAAACTACAAAACTGACCTGACCTTGTCGACCGGACCGCGAGGAGGTCGATTCGGTATTGTTCCTAGGAATAGAGCCAGTATTTCTATTATTAATGGAACTTCATCCCAAAAAACAAAGTCTTTTCTAATCATCATAGTGATTATAACCATTTCATTTACTTATTTTTTTTACAGCAATAGTTGCGTAATATGTAAACCTCTATTAAACTTATTATCGTAATTTTAGTGGAAATTTCCAATAGGCAAGTAAGTGTCTAATTTCTACATTTTGTGCTGAATATCGAAAAGTATTTTTATATGTATCTACTACTCCACTAGTCTACTAATAGTTACAAGTGCATCCGTTTTGACCTAACAGTTATGAAGGTAGTTGAAGTTATGATGAATGTAGTTTATTCAGATGACACAACAGATGTGTTTACATACTTTTTATACATAACTCTTTATATTTTATAAGTATATAAGAGACTCTTTTATAGATAAGAATTTTTATCGTGTATCTGATTACAGAAGTTATATGCTATAATGTGGAATAGAAATAAATCATTGTAAAAAAAAAAGTGTGTAAAATTTATATAATTTTATATCCCCACTTTTTTAATATACTACCACTCTATATAGTTACCCTCAGTTAAGAAGAAAACCCAATAAACTTAGCTCGTACTTCTTAAGTAAAAATCTTATAACATTATACGTTCTTGATTTCATTAAAAATTAAGTTATTAGACATATAATTCGATTCAGTCTACAACACAAATGTCTGCAACGTGTCAGGAATAAAACCCGTGACCGTTGGAACTAAAGCAGTGTACTAAACCACTAGACCGCCGAGGCCGTCAAAGGTGATTGAAAACTCTGATAAAAAACCAAATTAATTCGTCGACAGTAAATATACCCAGCGAAATGTGACCGTCAAGTGTTAGTGATGTGTCACCACTACGTCAACAGATGGTAATACTTATCACTACTGCATCTGGAATATCAGTGGGGAATGTATAATATTAGATATACCTACCAGCAAACGTTGTAATAATATAAATTTAAGTAATATATTGCTAATAAAAAATAGCGAAGGATGAAAATTTAGGGTTCTATGTATGTTTGCTGGAGGAATATTGCAATGTTTTAGTTGCTGTATTTTATTGAAGTAAAAAATGTTTAGAATATTGACTGAATATATATACACTGAATTTAATAGTGAATTCGAGAAGTCAAAAATGTATAAAAGTTAAATAAAATAACATCGATGTTCCATGCGTGACGTTCTAAATTTGAATTATACAATTTTATTTTTAAATGTAATATATGGCTATTTATACTTTTTTTTTTATAATGTGGCATGAGAAAATACATTGTTTGCGGTCAACAATGTATTTTATAATGCCACAATATAAAAAAAAAATAGCTGTCCGGCAAATGTTATAAGTTGAAGTACTAATATTGCTATTAAAAATAGGGAAGGATGATAATTTAGGGTTGTATGTATTTTTAATGTCACATTATTAAAAATAAAAAAATATTGACCAAAAAATAAATATTAGAGGTGTTAGGGGTGGACAGCACTTATCATTTAGGGGTATGAATAATAGATAGTAGCCGATCCTCAGACCTACTGAATATGGATATAAAATTTCGTAATAATCGGTCAAGTAGTTTCGAAGGAATATACTAACTAACATTGCGACACGAGAATTTTGAATAGGTATATAAGATAATACAATTAGAATTCTATCAATAAATTGTTAATATACAATTAAGTAGGTATACTAAACGATTACTTATGACAAACGTGCATGGCAATTGTTGTTTATGCACGGGATTTTCATATAATGTTAGACATAGACACCTATATAAGTATTCAATGTAAATAAACTAAATAAAAAAAAAAAGAAATTCGGTTAATTTTATTGCCAGTTTTTTCAATTAAATTTGTATACTGAATACTACAAAAAAATTACGATAATAAGCGTTTAAAGCTTCCTACATTAATAAATGATTTTTTATTTTATTTGATTCCATAATTATATAAAACAAATCTTTTATATATAAAAAATACAACTAAAATAGCACATGTTGTCTATGGCATGTCAGAAATGACTAATGTATAAAACAAATATATTTATCTTAAAACATAACTACCTTTAAGCGATAAATCTCGTTTTATTTCATTTCAATTAAATTGTAATTGTAGATTAATAAATAAATGAAATATAATTTCGTAAAGTGCTAACGTTGTTATCCTGCCAACGTGTTGTTTATCATGCAACGACACCGGCCGAGTATATGCTGCATCGGCAGATAAAGGATTTGCATTGCATTTTGTTTATGCGTTGCATAGCTGTGGAAAAGCAGTGCTGCGCGTTAGTGCGCTCCGGTACGGTCACCGATGCACGCGTGCATCCATCTGGCGCATACTACTAGTAATTATTACCAGTAATTACTATGACCGACTGGTCGATCATGGATCACGATTGGCCCACTTACGACCCTTATCAGTACTATAACTACTACCAGGAAGCCCAGCCCCCGCAGATCGCGCCGCCCGCGCAGGCTTATATGCCGCCGTCTCCAACCTTGACATTGCTGCTTTCGTCTCCGGATCTCACGACGCCGCAGCCTCTTGCTAACGAGATGCAGCACGCCAACCCTCCACCGCCTCCTAAAAGGTACGTCTTGTACATTAAATTTTGATTTCGTATCCTCTGAGTGATGTTTGGTGACACGACGTGAAATCTGATCGGGCTACTAAAACACCCACGTGGTTTTTCGTACCAGCTACTCTATTGGAAGCATGTTTATTGCACTACCATAGCGTTGGTATTGGCATTAAAATGTAATAAATGCATAATCTAAACAAATATTATATACAGGATATTTTTTAAATTTAATTTTTTCACATATGGAAAGTTCTGCGAGTAATACGAGTAGTATTTTATTAAAAAACAAAGTGTTTTCTAATTTTTACACTTGTTTGAAAAACTATTAATACTATATCTTTTTTTAAAGGATTCTATAAATTTATCTAAAAAATTAATGGACAAGAATATGTAAATAACCAACTTCGAACAAAGTTCCGTTTTGACGTCGTCTTTTTATTAATTGTAATTAAACTAATATTACTTATTTATCGTTAATTATATTTAACGTGGTAGTGAATGGATATTTTCTGCTTTTTATGTTTTTCGAATGGCAAAGAAACTGTTGAACTGACACCTCATGGTAGGCAGCAATCGTTGACAATTTAAATTAAAAAAATATTTATTCATGTAGGACATTTTAGCCGCTTATGAACGTCAAATTTTAATTTTATAATTTTTCCTTACCGTCCAGTTCAGTATATAGATCCAATTGAGAAGAGAACAATTGGCAAGAGACTCAATTTGAATTTATTTTTTTTTCAGTTTATTTACAATGTATATTTATATAGGTGTCTATGTCTAACATTAAAGTACGTATGTATGTAAGGTATCCTGCCTCTTATTCTGTAATTTCACTACCCAATCGCACTCTACAACCGAAACAGCTTACAAAGCAGTGCTTGAACTAGGTCAGGAGACGGCTAGATCCACTGTACCATGATTATATAATTGTTGATGTTACTGGCAGCTTGTCTACCATTCTTTTTATACTTTGTTATTTTGATATCAGTTTTTTGTATACCACTTTCGACGAATTCTTGTTACTACTTTTCTCTTCGCTGTGAGCCCTTTTGGGAAATTTACACGTTTTTTACTATTATTAGATTTTTAATAAAATTGTAGAGGTGTTCCCGCTCAGTCACGGTTGATTAATATGATAGCCTACGGAATGTTTACACTGAGACTGGCATGAAACTAGAGTTTTATAATTATGTCCAGGCGGACCTCTCTGTCTACTCTACATTTTATTACGGCGTGATTTATAAATACAACATAGAGTCAGTAGATATAAAAAGTTTGAAACATAGTGCAAGGTGACCATATTCAAAATCAATGCATTATAGTGACCTTCTAAATAAATCACATTATACATGTATTATGTTGTACATAATATATGTATTGTACGGTACATAACATTACTGGAACACATATACTGAAAACGTAAACAGTCCGAGCGTCTGTTGACATTGTTATGAAGAAAACAATTTTACTTCATTTGAAAAAAAAGTATAATATATTTTCTTTCATTTATTTGTAGGTTTGTGAATAAAAATCTTAAAAACGACATATTGATTAGAACGTGATTTTTTTGATCAAGTAACCGCTAGACAGTCTTATATCCGATGGTCGCAGATTCGATTCCTCGCACGGTAAAATAATTTCTATGCATAAACATGTAGTATTTCTCATTTATACTAGATGTTATATACTAGTAAAGCATTATTATTATTATTAAATATTATATAACAGGTAACACGATGACATACAACACTGTATGCTGCGTATGGAACGTGAAATTTCAATATCTGATAATGTCAACAATTTATGTAATTCTATACGGCTGCCTTACCTAGATATCCGGTCGGTAATAAAACATTACTATGCTGTATGTTATATTACAGTGCATTATCGTCATATAAGGTTATTATGATTATTATTATACTGGTAACCCGTCCCGCATGGATGCATTTTAAATATAATTTCTCGGCTTGTTCTACTCTATAACGCGTTATTAGACATATATATACCTTCCTCTTGAAGAACTCTATCTATTGCTGAAAACGGCTTTAATATTAGTTGCATAATTTAAAAGATATAAACGAACAGACAGCGAGACGGCTTCTTTTTATACTATGTTAAGATACCTGAACTCGTAAATATGTCTTCATTTTTGTATCATATAACTAGGGACAATCCACACAGTCCCATCTAGTTTCAAGCTAAGTACAATTATTATATGTTATAGAAATATTCAAATAGATTTTTTATGTAAAAGCATACATATTATACATAGAAAACATTCAGACCAATACAAACACTTGTACAGGTAAATACAAATGTTTGTACCGTGTAAGGAATCGAACCCAGTACTAGCGGAAGTAAGCGGTGAGCCACCAAGCATATCCGTATATAAAATATAGCCTGTGAATCTGACTGCTACGGCTTTTATTTCCAAATCAATATGACTAAAATACATTATACAGTTTTGAAAAACAGAGTGCTGTCGTCGGCGATTTTAACACCAAAGTCAGTAAATATAAAAATGACTGTTTTGTTTGTGATTTGATTTCACGGTATTTTATTTAAGGGCTGTGGTAAGTTAGCGACGCACTCCAACCTCTCTAAACGAAGTAACTTATATCTCTCTTTTGCAAATCAAATTAATGCAATAGTCAAATTAGATTTATACATTCTCTTCAGAAAAATGATTCATATAGCTGACACCACAAATGTAACTGATTTTTTTTTTCGTACTATAATGCTGTTGGCCGTAGCTGGCCTTTACAGCTTCACCGGACGTTAGGGGCGAGTGCAGATGGCACTCCAAACCCGCGGAAGGACTTATGGAGCGGCTGAAGGCCAACTCCTGCCTGACGGATACGACTTTAGTCTGAGGCCACCACTAGGGGTTCGAACCTTGGCTCAGGCCGTTGTAATATCGATCCCCGTTTGAATTGGACGGGGGATCGATCGGAGAGGATGATTAGAAATACCTCTGTCTACCCAACCTTGGATTACAGTCGCAAAGTTATTTTTATTTTGTTTTATTTTGCTACAAAGAGTCAATACAGTTATAGTTACAGTTAGTTAGTTTGTTAGTATATGATTGATGACCCCATTTGCAAGCAATGTACCATGTAATGTTGACCTCCACGCGGTTCCCCTGGAAGCCATCCTGATAAATTCCTGGTGAATTTGTCCCGATGGGCTAACTGACATGACCTCACCCTGTCATTCTCCACTGGTGCCCAGCCAGCGTAAACCGTTAGCGCAGACGCGTTCTTCATATTCCATTATCATCCACTAAAAAAAAGAGTTTATGGTACCGAAACGTATTTGATACAATTATATGAATAAAAATGTAGAAAACCAGAAACTAAAATACCATCCTGATAATCTGGATGAATGGCCGTCCTCCACAGTACGGTTTTCTAGAAACTTTTTGCCACGCACAACCACATTGTGAAATCACCTTCCAGCAATGGTATTTCCGAACCGATACGATATTAAAACCTTCAAGAAAAGAGCTTATTCCTTTTTAAAAGGCCGACAACGTACTTGCAATTCCCCTGGTGTTGCGGGTGCTAATGGGCGGCGGTAATCACTAACCATGAGGTGAGCGCTCGTTTGTCCTCTGTGTTTTAAAAAAAAATGTTAGTTATAATGGCCATAGAAATTTAGAATAAGGATATTGTTAGGTACAAGAGAAACAATAGCGTATTTACGTCTCTTTAAATCTATGTGAGGTGAGTGTATAAAATATTTCAAGCGAGCAGAATTAAATTTGAACTTAATAAGAGTGGAGGATGATAAGATGAGCATGAGGTCAGGTCAGTTAGCCCATCGTGACAAATTCACCAAGAATTTATCACAATGGTTTCCAGGGGGAACCGCGTGGAGGTCAACCTGACATGGTACATTGCTAGCAATAAGATCCACATTACTAACAATCCCCTTTTCCCCCCGGGTATAGGGGTTATATGTAATACGGAAGCGCAAGGATACAAGTACCTACTTACTATATGTACATGATAAGACGATACGATAAAACGACCTCTGGGTCTAACTGTTTATCACACCGCCTTACTTCCGATGGTCGCGGGTTCTATTTCTCGCATGGTAACATTCTTATTCGATTCATCATCATCATCATTGCCTTTCCTTTATCCCATTATTTTGGAATCGGCGCAGTATATCATTCTCTTCCACTGCTCTCTATCGGTCGTCATATCTGAACATTCCTATTCGATTATGATATGAATAATAATAATAATAAAAAAAATAGCCTCCTATAAATACACCCCGCAGATAGTACTTGACTCTCCCGGGTACAGGTTGTATTGGGACAGGACTGTAATAACAGACAAAACTGCACATCACAACAGACCAGATATAACGCTACATGATTAGAAAAATAAAAAAGTTTATATTATAGATATTGCAATACCAAATACACATAATCTTTTAGAAACACATACCGAAAAAATTGCTAAATATACTGATTTGGCTATAGAACTAAAAATACAATGGCAGGTAGAAACAGTGAAAACTGTCCCAATTATTATCTCGTCTACAGGTGTCATCCCAGCATCCCTACACACTAGCCTCAAGATATTACAACTTCACCTACTTGCTTTCATCCTTCTCCAAAAAGCTGTAACATTAAACACTTGTAGAATAGTCCGCAAATTTTTGTTTTCCACTTAAAAATTATCCATCCTCATCATTCATCATTTATACTGTCATTGTTTGGTGATTTTTACCCGCAATGATCAGTCTATTACCCCATCAAAGGGAGATATATAATATATATATAACGAAATAATAATAATAAACACATTGAAAAACCAGCAAAAGCTGAGAGAGTGAGACGATGATAATAATAATAAATAAATAAATTGCACCTTAATAAAACATTCTTCATTGAACTCCAGAAATCTACAGTATTAGATACATGCTCTATAGTTAGAAAATTTTTAAATAGTCCAATTCCTAACATTCCTACTGAATAACATAAAATACGAGAA